CATAACATATAGAATAATAAGATTTAGTATATAAGTTAAATTTTAGTATTTAAGATTTCGTATATAAGTTAAAAAAGGAAATGTGATCTTGGGCTGCAATAAGAGACATAATTTCCAGGAATGAGGAAGTGATAGTCTGACTGTACTTGATTGAGTGACTGTGATCTTGAGCTTTAAAGAATGGAGGAAGGGAGCCTAAGGAAGCCCATGTCAGACAGCCTTATTCTTTTCAGGATAGGTCATCAACTGTTAGCAAAAAATCACAGGGTCAAAGATATAACATTGCCGTTAGAGGTCATCTAGTCCCAGTCATCTTACAGGTGAGGAAAAAAAAAAACTGAAGTTAAATAACTTGTCCAAAGTCATACAGGTAAGTAAGGGGAAGAGCTAGATTTTAACCCAGATTTTCAGTCTTCTTTCACCATCATATGTAAGAGGAGGTGGTTCATATGTGAGCAAAAGGAGAAAAGAAAGGTTTTGGAACTGTCATTGTGGGGACTGAGATAGGAAGCCAATAAGGTAGAAAGAAGCAATTGTCACACAGGCATCTTGGAGGCAGCTAGAAGAGGTGGTGCAGTGCATGGAGTACTGGACCTGGAGTCAGGAAGACCTGAGTTCCAAATGTGACCTTGCCAGTTATGAGAATCAAATAAGATATTAGTAAAGTGCTTAACACAGTACCTGGCACATAGTAGGTACCATATAAATGCTGGCTATTATGATGGCTTAAATGAAATAAGGTGTTACAAATTTATAGTAGATGAATTCACTTTAATTTTATAACTTTCTCCCATAATGTCCAGTAGTTTTGTGGTAAGAATGGAAAGTATAAGATAGTAAGGTAGAGAGTTGGAGTTTCTCAAGGATGAGGATTCTTCAAATTCTAGGGGAGTCACTACTGAAACATTAAAGTGGTTGATCATGAGGTCAAGTATGGAGAAAAATGACATCAGAGTAGGAGAGATGGACTGGGAGAACAGGGATGGTTCAACAGACCAGAGGTTAAAATACTGGCAAAGAGTAGGTTTAATGGTGAAGAGGTAAAAAGACAAAGAGTTCGTGGTTAGATAACAGAATTTCAGAGTTGTTGTTCGTCCTTCATTTTTGAAGAAGAATAGATTTTATAAGTAACACAATTCCAAGAGAGGGTGAAGCATGAAATGTAACCATGAGAGTGTGTGCTAAAATAGGTTGAAGAAGGATATAATCCAAGTTGAAATGTAGGAATTTCAAGAGAGATATCATCAACATGAATATTGGAATCCCAGAGAATTACTTCAGGGGATAGCTGGAGATATAGTAAGCTAGATACATAAATTCCATATCTACATTATAATTAAGATGAATAGGATAAAATTCAGCATATATTCATCAAAATCTTTTATACAATTGATGAACTCAGTATTTTATCTAAAAATGTCTTGCTTCTTTAAAAAAAAAAGAGGGGGAGTAACCCTAAGAGTCAATCATATCATTACCACATGTCAATAAAAGATAGCTGTGTCTGACAGGGTTCACTACACTCCAAAACTGTTAAACATTAAATAATGATGTCAACTGATGAAGTCAAAAGACTCAATATTGCAATGTAGTAAGCTAATTCCTAACTACCTAGAAGGTCATGGTATTAGCTATTTCAACCAAGATTTCTGGAGCTCTCTAGAGTTCATCTACTCCCACAGGTAAAAAGGAAAGATCCAGAAATAACCTGGACATCAAAGTAAGTTTATTGATGCACTTATTACATTAATCTGAAATGTTTGAAATAGGTTATCAGCACAGACGTGGACAGTAACAGGTGCTCTCTAAAGTTTTCAGCTTTACATACGTCTATTTTAAATCACCACATTCCAAACTAATCCACTTCCTGCCTTCATGTATCTCTTCATGTCACTTGGCCAGTCCAATGACCAGGATTATTTGTTTGGCTCCAAACCATCTGCACGGTGTCTTACTTATTTCCAGGGCTAAAGTTTTGGTGTTCCCTTTCTGTCTGAGATAGGATAAATGATTTGACAGTACCTCCTCTGAACATGGAAAAACATAAGCATTGAAACAATCTCCTTCCCTCACTACACAATAAGCACTACAAGTGTGCTAAGCACTACAAGAAACTACAAACTACTGCTTGATTATCCTTCTATTTAACACTTGCTGGCTTTCTATCCCATAACAACCATTCTAAATTTGTTTTTCTCTCCTCACGCTCCTAATCACACCCTTGCCTTGAAAACTCACAGCAAATGATCCTGCTTCTTAACTCACAAAGAAGTTTGAGACTCATTTTATGGAAGCTCCCTCAGTTTTCTTCCTAAATAAAATATCTTACAGTCTATTTTCTGCTCTTTCCCTCTATTCTCAGAGGAAAATGGATTGCTACTACTTGTTATCTTTTTACACTATTCTTGATCCTCTGGCTTCCTCAAGTATCTTGCTCCATTAAGTATCCTCTCTCTGTCATTCATCTCCAATCACTCCTGTCTATTGGCTCTTTTCCCTCAGCCTACAAACATACTTACATGACCCAGTCTTCAAGTTAACAGTGGCATCTTTATTGCCAAATCTCAAGGCCTTTTCTCACTTCTAATACTTCTTGACCTCTCTATAGCATCTGACAGTTAGTACCTTCTCCTCCTGGGTTTTTAATCTCCACTCTCTGTGTTGATGAAAACAATGTTGTTTGTCACATATAATAACTCATATTTGTACACTTACAGAACTTGTAAACATATATTTTAATCTATTTAATAATGTTCCAAATGAAGAATTTTGGTGGGTTTTGAACCTATTTGTTAAAAATATAAAAATGCAACACCTGCTTAAGTTTATAGGAACAACTGATACATATCAGGGAAGAAGGAAATTTACAACAAATTTACAACAAAAACCTTAACATAGTGGGATGGAAAAATGAATATCGTGATTTGGTAAGTGCACTTATTCCAAAGATCTGTGTATCTTTTGTAAGATATGTTTTTCAACTATTATTAACCAATAAGATCAAAAATAAAAATAAATTGAACTTTGAATCAGACCTTTGGATAGCTGTACCACAAAGAATTAAATCAAGATTTTAAAAAGTAATGAATGAATAAAAAAGTATATATTAAGTGCTCACTATATGTCAAGCACTGTGCTAAGAATTAGTGATACAAATTCAAAAAGGCAGTCTCTGCTCTCTAATTTGGGAAGACTACACACATAGGAGAGTTCAGCTGCAGGATGTATGGAAAGGACACCTATGGATGCAGCTAGTGGACCACTGACAAGACACAGGAGGTTAGGCATCAAGATGTCGGCTTCCTGAGAAGTGGCTTACCACCACTGGAAGTGTATGTGTGGGGAGTAGATCTAAGGGTTAGAGTGCAGAAGGAAAGAATTTTCTGTCACATTGTATTCACTCAAAATATCATCATAAACAATATTTTAGTAAGATTAAAAAAGGCTTTTGCATCATTACTTTCAAAATATTTCTTATACTTTTAAATTCTATTTTTGTGTGCTTCATAATGTACATAATTGTTAGTATAGTAGTAGATATTGCGGTCACATACTCAAAAACCTCTTGCTTATAGGGGTACTTGACCAAAAAAGTTTGGAGAACCCAACTCTAAAATTCCTTCTAGCTTTTAAATTCTATAATCCTTTGTTCATAGGGCTGAAGTGCAGAACTCAACAACAAGGAAAAAAGGCTGTTAATGGAGTATTAACAGCTGGCCCATACCTAAGGTTAGTTTTGAACCTGATCTTGGTAGATGTGGCTGTCCAGCCTTGTTATTTTTTCAAACATTTTACGTCAAGAAAAGTTGTTGACGAGAAAAATTCTTGGAGCTGAGACATAAACAATTTCAACGGAGATCAACAAAAGGGGAATTATACCTTAGAAGCTCACAGGAATGGCAAAGTATTTGGACTGGTTAAGATAAGACAGTCAAAAGGCAAGACCAGGAAGACAAAAGATTCTACTTCTCCAATATCCTTGTGATTTCATATCTATCTGTCTATCTATCTATCTATCCATATACACATACATATACACATACACATGTATATATACATCTATACATCATATATACCATATATACTTCTACCAGATATATTTAAAGTACATACACAGGTACCAGATGCATCAGCAACTCCTCTGCTGAGTTGCCTAGAACACTGAGAGGCTAATGGTATTATGAGAATAAACCAAGGGTGTCCTGGACCCTTGTTGGATGTGCATTGGGGAGGGGAATGGGAAAAGAGATGATTCTGAGGTTATGGTGTTGGAAGGAAGGTTCTTTAGTTAAAATAAAGTCCTGTACTTCTGGAAGAAGTTGGAATTTTAGCTGTACTGTGCACTGGGAGCTTGTTCTTCAGGTCTGCCTCCTGTAAACAGCATGAAGATAAATACAGGTTTCCTCTATTTCCCAGTGGCGGTCAGGCCTGATCAGGGGCCAGGACAAAATGGTCTTCTTCAAAAAGGCAATGTTAGGTAGGTTTCTGTTTTCCAGCATTCCCAACCACGAGCATAATTTAAAAGTTTCAAGGCATTTTCATTAACTTCCGGTCAATCAATAAACATTCATTAAGCATTAAGCCAGACACTGTGCTAAACCCTGGGGATGCAAAGGTCAAAGACAGTTTCCCCCCCACTCTCATAAAAGCATCCTTTTTCTTAAGAGGAAAATAAAAAGGAAAAAAGAAAAAAGTCATAGATAAAATCCAGTAAAAAAAGCAATGAACTGAACAAATTTCCTGAATGACTGGCACTACTCCTAGAGCTCCACTTCTGGCTAAAACATGACTCTCTCCTCCCTTCCTCTCTCCTCTCCAAAACTACTTCTTCCAACTCCCACAATTCCTAGGGCTACTCCAGACGCAAATTAGAGGAGGGATGGGGAAACCGCCACTAAACCCACCCTCTCTTTTAATTGGTCAATAAGAATTAGTCCCGCCTCACGGGCCTGGAACGGGGTTCCGTATTGGGTGAGAAGAAGAAGAGAGGCGACGTGGGCGGGGTAAGACTGCCGATGGGGAGGCGTGGTCCAGGTTCCCTGAAATCGTCCCTTAGCGCGCCAGGCACCATGTACCGTTCACTCCGGATCTTCCTCCTGCCTAGCAGGCTTTTGCAGCCCTCTCCTCCAGGCCCCGCGTGCGCCGCCTGCGCCCTGCAGCGGCCTCCGATCGCCGTTCGAATGGTGAGGGTCGTCTGCTGCTTTTCTGTTCCCGCTGCCGTCCCCGGGGTTAGCCCGCAGTGACCTTCAGCCTCTCCCCCGACCCATTGGCTGAGCCGGGCCAGGACAGGCCAGGCCGGAGGCCTGAAGTCGGGGCTACGAGCTAGGGGAGAAGGTTAGGTTGCACTCTGCGTTCCCTTCTCACGACCAGGGTTGAGGATGGTGGGGTTTTTTCTCCGACACCTTCCGGTGCATGGTCCCAGGGGCCTTAGGAGCGGGGAGTGTGTGCGCATGCGCTGTAGTGTAGGGCTCGTCGGTGCACACAGATCCTCGCGCTGCTCTGTCCTTCCTGATTTCCTCATCTGTAAAATGGGGACAGTTATAGTAATGATAATAGCACCTACTTCCCAGAGGTGTTGTGAGAATCAAATGAGATAATATTTGTAAAGTACTTTGCAATCCTATGTAAATGCTAGCCATTTATATTGTTATTATTTTAGACTTACTGCTAGGCTCTTGGGGTTTTCCCTTTCTTGCCCATTCTTGCACACATCTCTATCCTTCTCCCTGAAAAACCTGAGATTTTATCTGGATGATGCACAACAATATGTGGTGGTGCTTAGGGTTCTGGTTTCTACAGCCCAGGGTTGCTAAGTGACCTACCAGGAAGTGTCTTTCCAAGACCTGGACCTGGGAGCTTGAGTCAGAGCTCCTGGGTTGCAGCATGGGCCTTTAGGGAACAAGTGTGTGATGATATTATCATTATTTGGTGCCCTCTATTTTTCTGATCTGATGGAGGAGGCAAAAAAATCCCCAAAAAACACCTCCCCCACCCCCACCCCAGCCCCACATGCTGTGACCTGGGTTTAAAGCCCAGCATATGTAGAATAAAAGTATTTTGTGGCCCAGAGTACTGGACTTGGAGTCAGGAAGACTGGAGTTCACATATGGCCTCATATACTCATTCACTGTGTGATTCTGGGCGAGTCACTTAACCTCTGTGCCTTGGTTTCCTCATCTGCAAAATAGGTATAATAATAGTATTTACCTCCCAAGGTGGTTGTGAAACTCAATTGAGGTAATATTTGCAAAGTGCTTTACAGACCTTAAAGTGCTACATAAATACTGGCTCCTGTCATGACTTTCACAGTATTACTGACTTTAAAGGAACTTGATTACAATAATTTTGACTGCTTGAAAGAACTAGTTGTAATTCATAGTGGTGATGTCATGATAGTGTTGTTTTTATACATGAGATCATGTAAAATGTTTTGTAGTTTTGAAGTTTTATATAACTGTAAAAGCTGTTATTACTGGGAAGAAAATTCAATGAAAGAGGAGTTTAAAGTTCCAAGTCTAAGCAATAGCTACTACTGATTTGTTTCAATGAGTCCTTTTCATTTTTTTTTAGTTTCTTCATTTATAATTTAAAATATTGACAATATAGCCTTAAAAAAACCAAAATATTTATCAAAAGAATGTTGATATTGTATGCAATCTCAGGTGCATATAAAAAATTTTATGTTATTTGCTCCCTGAGAGCCAGGACTGTCTTTTGCCTTTCTTTGTATCCCAACATTTACTTAGCACAGTGCCTGGAACATAGAGGCATAAGTGCTTGTTGACTGACCGACTCTAACAGCATCTATATTTTCTGGGATGTTTCATTAAAGAAGTGTGTGTGATAATCAGAAAAAGGACTGTGGAGTCAGAATACAGATGGAAGCATACTATTTGCTCTCCTTTTCTTTTTTTTGTTTTGTTTGGTTTCTTCTTTCTCATGGTTTCTCCCATTGGTTCTAATTCTTTACAACATAACTAATGTGAAAATATGTTTAATATAAATGTATATGTAGAGTCTATATCAGATTGCGTGCGGTCTTGAGGAATGGGAGAAATTTAGAACTCAAAATCTTATGGAAGTAAATATAAAATAAATAAACAAATAACATTTTTTAAAAAGTATGTGTGAGAATCTGTTGAAATTGCTTTTTTCTCTGTGACTTGGTGGCATCATTTGTGATAGAATGCACTGGGCTGTTTTTTCTAGTTCACTGTTCTACAGTCTCACCTCTCATTAGCTTTCAAGCCCATTGCATTTATGGATCAGACATAAAGCTAGATCTCTACTTGGAGGTCATCTAGTTTAACCCTCTTTTTTTATAGCTGAGGAAAACTGAAACCCAGAGTTGTTGCAACTTGCCCAGCCACACAGGTAATAATTAATAGAACCAATTTAAACTCAATCTCTGTGACTTAAGAATATTAAAGTCCATCTTGGCCTATTTCCTACTAGTTTTGAGTAGAACCAGGAGAGTGATTACCTGGATAAGTAACTGAAGGATTTAAGGACTCCCCTATTCTCGAGTGTGCTGTTATTAACAGACCTTAAATGAAGAAAACTTGTTGACTTTCTCCCTACTCTTGTTATAAAGACTCTTACCTAGTAGGTAAACAAGTTACCAGTTTAAAATCAATAATGTCTGACCCACAGAAGTATTACTTGTGTTTATTTCCTAACTGCTGCTTACAAGCTGTTCCCATAGCCTCTTAACCTCTCCGAACTCATTTCATCATTAGTAAAATGAGGATAATACTTGAACTTTGTAAACTATAAAGCATTATACAAGTGATAAAGATGAATTATTACTAGGGTTTCCTTTGTAATGATTCATATTATCCAGATTTTTTTTTTGTGATTCCTTTTTTTTTTAGGCATAAAGTCCACATCTAATAATTTTGATGACAGTGTTATTTGCTTTAAGAAGCATAGAACTTTTTAAAGCTGGAAAGGATCTTAGAAATTATCTAGTTGATGTCTTTCTTTTTTATATTTTATATGCCTAGGATTTTTATGGGTGTTCAAGTATTCAGAAAACACTAAATTTCCCCAATTTTGAATTTGGAAAATATATGCATATGTGTGTGTGTTTGAATTGTGCTATCTGTCCAGATCCCATTTTGCATTAAAGTATGTAAATGCTGTTGAACCCCAAAGTACTCAATTTAGACCAATATAAAATTATGTATAATAAAACAACATTAGACCAATGTTCCAGTTTAGCAGTTGTCAGACCTTTTGATCTCAGGACCCCTTTATACTTTTAAAATTATTGAAGATCCCAAAGGGCTTTTGTTTATATGGATTATATCTACTGATATTTACCATAATAGAAATTAAAACTGATCATTTAAAAATATTCATAAACATAATAAACCCCTTTTATGGTAACAAAATATTTTTATGAAAAATAACTTTTTAAAACAAAAATTTAAGAAGAAGACTGGTATTTCATATATTTTTGCAAATTGTCTAGTGTAATATAAAACAGCTGGATTCTTATATCTACTTCTGCATTGCATCTGTTGTAACATTTTTTTAATAGTATTTTGTTTTTTCCCAATTACGTGTCAAGGCAGTTTTTAGCAGTCATTTTTACAAGATTTTGAGTTCCAAATATTTCTCTCTCCCTCCCTTTACCTATTCTTGAAATGGTAGACAGTTTGATATAGGCTATACATGTGCTATCATGTAAAGCATTTCCATATTAGTCACAGTTGTGAAGGAAAAAACAGATCAAAAGTAAATCATGAAAAAGAATAATGTAAGTGAAAAAAGTATGCTTCGATCTGCTTTCAGAGTCTATCAGTTCATTATCTGGATGTGAATAGCATTTTCCGTTGTGAGTCCTTTGTACTCATCTTGGATGATTGTTTTGCTGAGAGGAGCTAAGTCATTCATAGTTGATCATCACACGGTGTTGTTGGTGTTGTATACAATGCTTTACTGGTTCTGCTCATTTCAGTTTGCATCAGTTCTTACAAGTCTTTCCAGGTTTTTTTAGAAATCTGCCTGCTCATCATTTCTCATTGCACTATAGTATTCCATTACACTCATATACCACTTGGTGGTCCATTTTCCCAATTTATGGACATCCCCTCAATTTCTAGTATTTTGCCACCATGAAAAGGGCTGCTATAAATATTTGCACATTTAGGTACTTTTCCTTTTTTTATAATCACTTTGAGATGCAGACCTAGTAGTAGTATTGCTAGATCAAAGGGTATGCACAGTTTGGTTGCCCTTTAGGCATCGTTTCAAATTGCTCTCCAGAATGACTAGATCAGTTCACAGCCCTACCAACCACACATTAGTGTCCCAATTTTCCCACATTCTCTCCAACATTTACATTTTCCTTTTTTGTCATATTAGCCAATTTGATAGTTGTGAGGTGGTACCTCAGAGTAGTTTTAATTCTCATTTTTCTAATGAAAAGTGATTTAGAGCACTTCTTCATGTGCTTCTATATAGCTTTGATTTCTTCATCGGAAAGCTTCCTGTTCATGTCCTTTGACCATTTATCAATTTGGGAATGGCTTGTATTCTTATGAATGTGACTCAGTTCTCTATATTTGAGAAATTAGGCCTTTATCAGAGACACTTGCTGTAAAGATTGTTTCCCAACTTTCTGCTTTCCTTCTAATATTGGTTGCATTGGTTTTGTTTGTGCAAAAGCTTTTTAATTTAATAAAATCAAAATTATTTTACATTTTGTAATGTTCTCTGTATTTTGCTTGGTCATGAGTTCTTCCCTTCTCTATAGATCTGACAGGTAGATTCTTCCTTGCTCTTTTAATTTGCTTATGGTGTCACCCTTAATGTCTAAATCATGTACCCATTTTGACCTTATCTTAGTATATGGTGTAAGATGTTGGTCTGTACCTAGTTAGTTTCCCAGTGTACTCCTCTTTCTCATCCCTTAATTATTTTTATGTCATTCTCTCAAATTTGCCTTATACTTGTGCCCTCTGTCTATTTATGTTCCTTCTAGCTGCACTATTAATGGTACATTTTTAAGAATTATAAGTATCGTCTTCCATGTAGGGATGTAAATAGTTTAGTTCTATTGAATCCCTTACATTTTCTTTTCCTCTTTAAGGCTTTCTTGGGTCTTGTGTTGAAGGTCAGATTTTTTATTTAATTCTTTTCTTGTCCTTGTGAAAGCTTGAAGTCCTTCTATTTCATTGAATTGTTGTTCAGTTGTTTTTCAGTCATGTCCAACTCTTCATGACTCTACTTGGGCTTTTCTTGGCAAAGATATTGGAATGGTTTGCCATTTCGTTCTCCAGCTTGTTTTGTAGATGAGGAAACTGCAGCAAGCAGGGTTAAGTGACTTGCCGAGAGTCACATATCTAGTAAGTGTCTGAGGCTGGATTTGAAGTCAGGTCTTCCTGACTCCAGGCCCAGGCTTTTACCTGCTGCCTCAGTGTAGCTCATAAACTTTCAGGCCCTAGGAGCAAAATTATTTTTCTTATTAAAAGTTACTTTGATATGTCACTGAATCACATCATCAGATTTATAAACATTAACTATAGACATGTATGGGCAAGCCAGACATTTCACATAGTTTTTTGAAATCTCCTGCCTAGAAAGGAAACTAGTATCATATCTAGATTCCAGATTTTTATTCTGTAATTGGAGTCAGAGGGGTGGCATAGTGGATAGAGTGCTGGACTTGAAGTCAGGAAGATCTTAGTTCAAATCCTGCCTCAGATGTGTAATAGATGAGCAACCTTGGGCAAGTTACTTAATTGGCCTCAGCTACAGTCCTTGCTTTTTAATGCATACACCTTACTCCTTTGGAATTTGTTATGTTTATATCCTCACCTATTCTACCCTCCCTATTCTTCCACCCCCTTCCCTGCCTATTTCCTTGTTGAGTTTTATGTGTGTGTGTGTGTAGTTGAGTTTGTGGGATACCCACTTCTCCCACCCCTTCCTCTTCCTCCATGTTTGAAAACTCCCAGCTCTGTCCTTATTCTGGGAGACGGTGATTTCTCTTCAGTTCTTTATTTCCTTCAAATGGGGATAGTAATGGTACTTCCCTCTCAGGGATATACAACTACACTTTTCTTTAAATTCTGGGGAATTTTTCCTGTTTGGGTTTTTTTGAAAAAGACAAAGTAGAATGAGAGGCAGTTCTCTTCATAATGTTAATTGGTCAAAGCACAATTGATAGGCAGGCTGCCTTTTGACTTTTTTCTTTCCAGTGTGCCTATGCATCTTGTTCTTATTTTGACAAAAATATTTTGAATGTGAACTTTGAAATATAAGAAATACTTCTGAAATTATTCACAAAATGGTAAACTAGGTGTAAGAGTGAACAAGACAGAATTTAAATGTAATTTCAAGCCTTTTCTGACTTGTAAAAGTGATGTCTTTACTCCTAACAGTTGATTTTATTATTTACAATATTGTCTTCTAACCCATATATCTGATAATCTTTTTCCTTAGGCAAGCCAAGACTCATTCCGGATTGAGTATGATACTTTTGGCGAACTCAAAGTCCCAAGTGATAAGTATTATGGTGCCCAGACAGTGAGATCTACATTAAATTTTAAGATTGGAGGTGTAACAGAAAGGATGCCAGTGAGTAACTTTTGTTGGAAGATTATTATCATAATTTGAACTGAAAAGCTATTAGGATTGTTAAACTTAAGATGTTTAAGATCTGTTTCTCTCCATTCAAATAAAAGAAGTTGGAGCTTTCTAAAATTTAATATCATGGTGTGTTTTACATATGCATAATGATGTCAAGAATTATAGAATCTTAGAATTGAAAGGGACCTCTCAGAGCCTTAGAGGCGGGAGTGCATCACAGCATTGGGCCAGTCAGTGCAAAGGCACATCATCAGGAGATGGCATGTCGTATACAGAGAATCCCTGCCAGGGTGATACAAATAAAATGGAAAGTGAGTGATTGAGATTAAGGTAAAATAAGACTGAGAAGATAGATGGGAGCCCAATTAAGTAAGTGGAGTCTGTATGTTATACTAGAGACAATAAGGAACCACCATAAAGACTTGAGTAAAGGAGTGACAGGGTTAAATCTGTGCTTTAGACGTCTCAGTCTATTAGCTTTGTGGAGAGTGGATTGGAGGAAAGAAACTCGAAGCCTGGGGACTCATTAGGAAGCTACAATAATATCATAAGGGGTAATGAATACTATGAAAAACTTTTTGAAGTCCTGAACTTGGTTGGCAGCTCTGTGAGGGAATGGATGTGAGCGTTGCTCTAGAGATAAAGTTGACGAGACTTTGCAGGTGATTTGAGAAGTGAGAGAGGCAAAAGAATCAAAATGACTCATCTATGAAGGTGTAGACAAACCATTGACTAATTAAAGTAAATGTCAAAATCACTTCAGTACTAGGAGAAAAGCTGAAACATGGGGAGATACCACTGTGCAGTTATAGTTGTACCAGTCCTTTGTAGCCATCCATCCAGGCCATCTTGCAAACCTCACTGGAAAGATGGTAGCGTCCTTAACAGAAATAGGGAAATTGAGAGGAGGGATAGATATAGGAGAAAGTATCACTTCTTTCTTTGATATGTTGAGTTTAAAATGCACATGGGACATCATAGTGCTGTGGAAGGCGCACTGGGTCTGGACTTAGAGGAATTGGGCTGAAATCCTAGGTTTGCCACTTAACTATCTAGGTGACCTTGGAAACATTACTTCTCTGGGCCCCAATTTCCTGATCTGTAAAATAAGGAGTTGGACTAGATGACCTCCACAGTTCCTTCCAGCTCTAAATCTATAGCCCTAGAAAAATATACGCACATGAAGATGTTAAGCAGGCACTTGGTAATGAGGGACTACTGGAGAATATAAAATTTAAACAGTGAATCACATTATAAATGAAATAGGAAGACAAAGAAGTTGCAGCTGAATGGAAAGATCATTCACAGATGCTCTATTGGACTATTCTAGAACAGTTTTATCCAGTTCTGTTGCATGATGATGAAAACAGACCACCGTAAGGACAATAATAGATTTGTTTTCAAATTTTCTATTATTATTCTCTACTTTTGTCTTGGAATGGTCTGATTTAATTCATCCTCAACCTAAGCTCTCTACAAACTCATATAGAGACATATAAAAAAGTTGGAAGATTTGGTTTCATCATGTGCCTGAGGACAACAAAAAATATTTCCTGAGATACTGGGAATCTTCATGATAAGCATAAGCGACAAGACCACCATGAAGCTTGTATGAATGTCCATTGCAGAGGATGAGAGGTTCAGAAATTCCATGTAGAACTTGACCGTGTCTTCCAAAAGCATATCAATACATACATTAATATTCAGTGTGTGATTTGGTGGTTTTAGGAGAGGTTAGTGAAAAATAGGTTGGAAGGTAAAGTTCATTGTTAAGAAAAAAAGAGAAACTAAAAGCTAGTAGACTATGTTACAGTAGCCTTGAGTCTACATATACTACATACCCTCTTTTAGAATAGAAATGGAAAGCATTGGATAGAGTGAGCACCGACCACAGCCACAAAAAGTGAAAATGACTTGTGAAATGACTGGTTCCTAATATCATCTATTAACATATAGACAAACCATCGACTTATTAAAGTAAATGTCAAAATCACTTTAGTGCAAGGGGAAAGGCTGAAATATGGGAAGGTGCCTCTGTGCAATTACATTTGCATCAATCCTTTGTAGCCATCCACCCAGGCCATCTTGCTATATGCCCTGCTCCTCTTCTCTCATCTTTACACCTCTTACTTTAGGCATAGTAATCAAATAAATTGTAGCATTGCTTCATGTAAGAGCATGCTAATTGACCACCTGTGGATTACCTCTCTACTGCTGTACTCCTATAGACCAAAACTCTTGGCCATAGATCCCCTAGGTATTCTGTCTCTCTTATTAGAATCTAAGTTCCTTGAGGGCAGAAACTGTCTTGCTTTTCTATATTTTATCCCCAACACTTAGTATAGTGCCTGGCACATAGTGAGCTCTTAATAAATGCTTTAAAATTTATTTATCCACCCTATTTATTTAAAAAAACAAAACAAAAAACTTGGCACTGAAAAATGAGAAAGAGGTAAAGGAAAAGACATTGCCACTACTTATCACTGTCTCCTACAGAAATTTAACTCATATAAATTAATCACCACAATAGGGAGAATAAAACAACTAACAAACCACCTCAGCTAGCAGGGTCTCCTTATCAAGAGGAGGCATGTAGCAGCCAAGGGAACAATAATTTAGATTGCAGGTTCATTTGTAAAACATTATGAAAGGGAATCTTTAGATTACAGTTAATGGCTGCCTCAAAAAACAATACTCAAAGAACAATGAAGAAAAAAAATGAGTCTGTAGAGAGCTTAGTTTGAGGATGAATTAGATCATTCCAAGACAAAAGTAGAGAATAATAATAAATAGAAAATTTGAAAATAAATCTATTATTGTCCTTACAGTGGTCTGTTTTCATCATCATGACCATAGAACTGCCCAAAACTATTTTGGAATAGTCCAAAAGTATTTGGCCTAATATCAAGGTCCTAAATAATGCTATATGATGTAATAATAATAATAGCGAGCATTTACATAGCAGTTTAAAGTTTGCAAAGTACTTTACAAATATTATCTCATTTGATCCTCACAATAATTCTGGTAGATAGGTATTATTGTTAGCTGCATTTCACAGATGAGGAAACTAAGGCAGATATGAGGAAATAGAAATGACATTTAGAAAAAATTATAAAGATCAGCTAGACTGGACAAGTTATATCCGCAGTTAGCTAGCTAGAAGAGATGTCTCCTGGCAACAACAGATTCTTGGAAACATTTTGAGGGATTGATTTTCAACATACTTGAAAAAAGGAACAAGTGGAAAGAATCAGATTTACACCATCCCACCCCACTGGGGGGAAAAAAAGCAGTGATAAAGAAGATAATTTCTGTCCCATATATCTACTTTCTTATCTTGATAAAATCTTTATGAGAACAACCATGGACATATCAAGGATATCCTTGATGAACATATGGAAAGAGAACAGTCAGACTTTCACAAACAGTTTTACATAGCAGATACATCTTGAGTCACACAATTTACTGAATGTTATAGAAGTTTATGAGCTCCTACTGTGCACTATTTTTAATTTCCTTCCTAGGAATGAATAGAGGAATCTTAGTTCAAAGACCTTTTGACTATCATTATCAGATGAGATAGAAAATACAAGTATGTTTTTAAGATGTTTGTCTCTGTAGCTGTCTTAAATGGAGGCCAGGTGGGAAAAGTATAAATGGTGATGTCATTCAGATGCCCTTATGAATGATATTGTACCAAGAACTAGAATAACACAGGACCTCAAAAAAATTAACTACTGCTCAAACTTGGTCAAGGAATAAATAAAGCCTATTGCATAAACCATGACATGGAATTGGAAGTGCAGTCTGTTGAATTTGCTTATCAATACCTTTATCTCAGACAGACGCTGCAAATGGACACGGACTTGGACTCTGAACTGAGTAAGAGAAAGAGAAGTGGGCTCTTGCATTTTGGACATCGTGCAGTTCTTTCCATTGTAGGATGCTTCTCAAAACAAACATCATCTTTTAAATACCAGAGTTTTCCTGGTAGTGATATGTGGAAACCAAGAGAGAGTATCCAGAAAGAGTTAAGGCCATTAGTATCAGAAGTTACCAAGAAGTCAAGAAAGATAAGGATGGAGAAAAGACCATAGAATTTAGAAATTCAGAAATTATTACCTTGGAAAGAGCCATTGCAGTATAGAGGTAAAAATCAAAAGCCAGATTTTAGGCTGTTGAGAGGTGAGTAGGAGGTAAGGGAGTAGAGACAGTAAGTGTAGATGACTTTTTCAAAGATTCTACCTGTGAAAAGGGAGGTGAGATACAGGATCATAGCTCAAGAGGATGGTAAGGAACACCATTTTCAAGATCAAAATTGTGGGTCAATAGAGAGATACACAGTGGGCATAAAAAGCTATAGCATATTTCTAACAGGGACCTGTGCATAAAAAGTGGCATAGAAGATGTCATCTGGGAAATATATGATCAGGAAATGAAGTGGGTCACATCATGAGAGAGGGGTAACAGATGGATAGCCAAAGTATTCACAAAATATTAAAAGATCTAATAGAAGGCCTCTAGTATATTCAGTGTGTTCTTTCTGGAGGATTTATGGGAGGACATAGATTAAAATCACCCAGGATGAGAAGGGGTAGATGAGTTCTGTACCATTGTGGGGAATAAACACATTGATAAAATCAGCTATTGAAGCATATGAACAACTTTTGGGGGGGTGAAGAGATACATATATTAGATTCTTTTAAAAAAAAAAGCAATCGTTTTGCATACTTGTACAAGTAAGCTCATTATTATGATCTGTCATTGGTTATATACCAACTATAATCTTTATCTTCTAAGTATATTTGAAATTATCTTGATATTAATTTTATTACTGACCTCAGTTTTTAAACCTGCATAACCAATAAACATAATGGGCATTTTGAGAAACACTCTAAATATAATTACAGATCCCAGTCATAAAAGCCTTTGGCATCTTCAAGAGGGCAGCTGCTGAAGTAAACCAGGATTATGGCCTTGATCCAAAGATTGCTGGTGCAATTATAAAGGCGGCAGATGAGGTAGGAGGTGCTAAATGTTTCTTTTATATCATCAGACCTATACCAGATTCTGTTAATGATTTTTTTTTAAATCTGCATAGATTGGGGGAAGGCCACTATGGAGCATTATTTTGCGAAGATAAATTTTTTTAAAAAACAGTATGACTTGTTTTCCTGGGTCAGGACATGGTTTTGCAGTTTCGTTTTTGCTTTTTTTCTTTCCCAATGGTAGTTTTGCCTGGTGTTGTGGTTAAGCTTTTATTTTTTAGCCTCCAGACCTTCTTTCTTTAACTTTAAGATTTTAGTAACTATGAAAAAAACTTACTTGGATATTATGCTTTTAATAACAAATCACATCACATGATATTTCGCAAAAATGCTTTCCTCACAGCAATAATTTAATGCTGTTGTTATCATCTCTTTTTACAGATGAGGAAACTGAGGTTCAGAGATTTTTCTTACATTGAATCAGAAAGGTTAAGTGATAGGCCCAGTCACCTGGCTAGTAAGTGTTTTGATGAGAATTTGAATCCAGAGTTTTTTGTGGCTCCCAAGTTAAGTGTATTTTTCACTGATAATTTCTTTTTCCTTGTATTTTCTTATCTAAAGAATTGATTGCTTTAAGTAATGAACTTCTCCAGTTATTTATTTGTCTTTTTTAAACTAGGAGGAGTATATAGTTAATGTTAAAAAATATATGCAAACTCAAATTAATCTAAAGCATGGATATCGCCAGCTTCTAGCATAGGCAGCTGCCAAATGCTGGGCATCTATTAGGTGACCCATGAGATGAAGAAATACCTATCCATGATTTACCATTCAAGTTACTAGTATACTGTTATGCTGACCCTAATTGATCTATCCGTCGGGTTTCAATCTAGCAGCTAAAAACAAATATGCCTGTGCTGAAAAAATGAATCTCAGCCTTAACAGGTAGGGTATCTCTTTCTTAATTGACTAGACCTTATAGATGCAGAAATGGTAGGGTTTTTTTTATTTGTTTGAATTTACTTGTTTCAAATTTGCAACACTGCAGTAATTGTACTATTTAGGAAAATTAGGGTTTATGTTTTAAAATATTTGTAGAATACAGTATTAATGCTTCTGTGGCCCTGATTCGCCTACAAATTCTCAACTTTTTTTTAAAAATTAATTTATTTTTAGCTTTTTTTAACTTTTGAGTTCTAAATTCTCCCACCACTCCCTTCCCCACCCACTAAGAATGCATGCATTATGAAATCCATTATACATGCGTAGTAGTCATGCAAAACATATTTCCATATTAGCCATGTTGCCAAAAAATGGCAAGAAAAAAAGTGGAAAAACAATCTGCTTCATTCTGCACTCGTAGTCCATCACTTCTCTCTCTGGGTGTTTATTCATCGTGAGTTCTTTAGAATTGTTGTGGATCATTGTATTGATCAGAGTAGGTAAGTCTTTCACTGTTGATCATTCTTACAATATTGTTACTTTCACCTGCAAATTCTAAAATTAAATAAGGCAGACCATATAGTCTGGTCTATAGATAAACAAGAATCTCCTCTACTTCAGGTGGTTTCCATCCTTGACAAGAATGAAGGCTTCTTTTAAGTATATTTTTTGAAAATTGTGGACCCCCACATGATAGAAATTAGGTTGTATTGGTATCTGATGACTGAGAATATGTATAACAGCAAAAAAATCACTAAATTTAGTCAATACTTTAAAGTGCACCTATATAATGACAACAGAGATCACATTTGAAAACAGTAATAGATGTAATATGTGCCTAATGTTCACTTTATAAAAAGAATGTTTGCTTATTTTTATTTACCTATGGACTATGTGGACTTTTTGTCATAACCCTGTAGCACCTCGGGGTCTGCTGCTGATAAACTCAGAATCGTTGCTCTCTGTGCTTCTCAACAGAAGAGAGAAAGGCATTCCCTGCTAAGGATGCCCATTCTACTCTTGTTCGACTTTGATTTTTTAATAATCTTTTTTCTTCTATTAAGTCAAAATCTTCCTTTTTGCAACTCCCATTGATTGCTCTTAGTTTTCCTTGTGTTCAAGCAGAGTAAGTCTGATGCCCCTTCCATGACAGCCATTTGAGCACTTGAAGACAGTTATGACCCCTCTAAGTCTCTTGTTCATGTCCCAAGGTCATAGAATCATAGAACTTAGATCTGGAAGGGACTTCGGAGGTCTCTCATTTTACAGATGAGGAAACCGAGGCCCAGAGATATTAAATAACTTGCTCAAGGGTCCATAGTAAAAGTAGCAGAGCCAGGATTCAAATCTAAATCCTCTGGATCTAAATCCAGCCCCCTTTCTACTGTGCTTTCCTGCCTCCATTCTTCAGCTTCTCCTCATATTGCATGGTCTCCAGGGCCCTCAGCATCCTGACCATCCTTTTTTGGAAACAGATGTCAGTCCTTTCTAAAATGGGGCACCTACTTCTGAAAACAATGCTCCAGATGTTGTCTGGCCTGGAAAGAATACAGTGGACTTATCAACTCCCTCCTTTTGGACACTATGCTTCTCTTAATGCAGCCTAAGATTGTGTTAGCTTTTTGGATTGGCACATTTCACAGTTTACTTATTTTGAACTTTCATACCAGGAAAGTCTGAAGTCATTTCAGTTTATCAGCATTTAACATACATGTTGTGTGACATAAGTTACACTGAGGAAGGGAAAAGGGAAGGAGCATAGGTAACAGTTGAGAAAAAAGATAAGCTTACTTATAACAAATAAGGAATTTATAAATAATAGTTAATAGACTCAGAATGAAAAATAGGCAAAATTTTTGGCATGTAATTGTGTTTTTAAAAATTAATCTTTTTTTTTTTTTAACTTTTTACAGGTAATAGATGGCAAATTAAATGACCATTTTCCTCTTGTGGTGTGGCAGACTGGGTCTGGAACCCAAACAAATATGAATGTCAATGAAGTTATTAGCAATAGAGCAATTGAAATATTAGGAGGAAAACTGGGGAGCAAGGATCCTGTGCATCCTAACGATCATGTCAATAAAAGCCAGGTTAGTATATAGTTTCAACTTTTTTCTTTTATTGTAAGGTGAAAGGAATAGCACACGTTCTTTGGAAAGCAAAAGTTAAGCCTCTTTAAAAACAAAGTAGGTTATGTTACTCATTTGTTTTAATAAGAAGACTTCTCATTAGGTATCTTTTTTTGAAACATTAGTCTTGATTGTATTTTTCTCAGATTTCCTAGAAATCATTTTTTGGGGGGAATGATGCATTTTTGCATACAAATTCAACGTCTTGAAGATGTTCTAAACACAATGAAAGTTAGATTAATCTTTTAAATTAGAGGCAGCCACAGTGATGCCTTCGACCCTGGGTTGCTGTGTGATTCTGTGAATCACTTCATATTCTTTGCTGTTGCAGGAAAAGGTGCCAACTTTCACTGGAAGAGGGAGTTCTCTTTTTCAGTGAAATCATAGATCCAGTCTCTATTCCTTTTAAATTGTCATTTAAGCAGTTCCTATTTTCAAATTCCTTACTTTATAGAACTTTAGAAAGGAAGCTGTCATGTTTCTTTTGGAACAGATATAAAATTTAGAAAGGGATGTGGGAGAGGGGGAGAGAGGATAGAAGTATGACACTGTCCCTCTTCTCCGTTACCTTTCCATTTCAGTGTTTTCTCTCTTTCTTCCTGGAGAGTTATTTAGTTTGATGGGCGGGGATACTATTTTAGGTAAATTGAGTACACTTTAGGGGCAGAACTTACTTTCCAAAGCACATTTTTTATAAATTTTTTAAATTTTAAACTTAAATACAAAATAAGAAAAGAAAAAAGAAACAAATGTTAGAACTAAAATAATGCAAAATAAGAAAAGCATTGTCATGTACACAGCAGAACATGAGAGAGGATTCAAAATATATAGCAATAAATTTCAATTTCAAGAAAGCCTATATAATAAATCTCCACATTGTGTTGAGAGCTGTCCATCTTTTGTTTGCTTCCTTGTAAGTTTTCTTTTGTTCTCTCTGCCGTGTACTTTTTACTTTGTTCTTTTCCCCTCTTCCTCCCCCCCACATACATTTTTTTATGTTTGTTTATGTATTATTGTCACTGATATAAAATTGGTAAAATATTTAATGGAATTTTAAAATAGAATACTAGTTAAAATGGAAAATGTTATAAAATGGCAAAAAGGCATTTATACACTCACCCTCATCCATACATGTGTATTAAGCAATACAACTTTGTTTGGATCAAAAAAGGCAGACCTGTTAAAGTTTAAATTATGTGTACACACATTTTCCTTTTCTTGGCTTCTGTTGGTAATGTACCAGTACAAGAGGTTACAATACAGGTTGGGAAGATTTTCTAAAAATCAGCACTTAGAAACCACCACTTTAGTGAAGAAATGTAGTTACCATATCCCTTGTTGAAGGAGCAGGGAACATCAGATTGCAAAGTCAGCTCTTCCTTTATCTCAGTTTTGCTTTGGGTGGGTATGGAGATGTCTTTTTTTTTTCTTTAAAAATTACTTCTGCAGTGTTGTGATTTTTAATATTCTTTGGATACTTAAAGGATATTTAAAATAAGCCTTTAAATTAAACGTCATAGCTCTAATTTTTAAAATTTAAGATTTGTATTTAGTATTTTTGAAATAGAATTAATACACAGAGACATCAACTACTCTTTGTTTCTTTGGTATTGTCTATCAAATACTTCAGTGTGAACCTATCTCAGATCTTTCCATTTTAGACTTGATTCTAGAGCAGGTCAGTCTTAAGCAATTGAATTAGAGTGAGACTTAAAAGAAACAGAAAGAATCATGTGACCTAAGAAGTTGATACCTAGTGAGTGGTACAATGGAAGGAACAACTCACCAGATTATTCCTTCTGTGTTGATCTCCTACCATTGGTAGATGGTCAGTTAAACGTGAATAAATTTTAGGTGGGCTTAGATTTGTGTAGTGATACATTGCATTTCCTCAGTAACTCAATACTTCAGGTATTTTTTTTCTGTACTTCTGATTTTAACTTTCTTTTTTTTTAAACAGAGCTCAAATGACAGTTTTCCCACAGCAATGCATATTGCTGCTGCAACAGAAGTCCACGAAGTATTATTACCTGGACTGCAGAAGCTTCATGATGCTCTAGATGCCAAGTCCAAAGAATTTTCCCAGATAATTAAAATTGGGCGTACTCATACACAGGATGCTGTTCCGCTTACTCTTGGGCAGGTAAGACATCAACAACAAAAAAATGTATTCATTAAGAAGATTTGTAAATGCATGATACTGCTAAAATATTTTGTAGTACTTAGTTATCACTGTATTTAAGTTAACATTATTTCAGAGGCTTTATATAGCAATTTATACAATTCATTAGCAAAGAGTTCTGCTTTTGCATTTATAGTCAGTAAGAAGTTCTTAGATATTAATCCATTTGCTACTTGAGACATTTCTGTGATCTCTTTCTTTACTGAGTAGGTTAAAGATAAGCATCCTTTTTATTTTGTTTATTTTAGCTCAGTCTTACTTTGTGTACTATTCTGTCCACATGTGGAAGGATAAGCACTTTCCAATTTGCTAGGTTATCTTCATATGCCTACAAATATTTACTGGATGTGAGGGATATGAAAGTATAAAGCACGAGCTTCTAAGTTTAAAGATAATTTAGAGGTTAGAATCCTAGTTTGGATGGGCAAGATACTTAACCTCTTTGCCCCCTATATTTCCTCATCTGCGAAATGAAAAGTCTTCACAAGATGATCTAAGATGTCTTCCTGTTTTGTGTTCCATGATTCTGTGATTCAGAATCACTGCTCTCAAAAGGCTTATAATAATTTGAGAGAGAATTAAATGTGTGTGTGTGTGTGTGTGTGTGTATGCACACACATTTTACCATATAGTTGCATATGTCCAATGAATAACTGGCATTATAAGCTACCTATTAGAAGTTCATAGGTAAAAGAAACAGGAAGGAAAGGAGTGGATGTTAATTATGAAAATTTCTTAAAGTACTTCTTTCTCACCATCCAGATGGTGCTAAGCAATAGTATATGAGAGAGAGAGAGAGATATCTCTAAGGTGTTATTTCAGTGCCTAATCATGGCATGGTGCCTGGCAAACAGTGGTCACTTAATAAATGCTTGTGGACTGACTAAAATTACCCTGAGTTCTCAGAGGCTGCAGCAGCAGAATGGAAGTTCTGGTAGGTCCTACCTACTTCTCGGAAAGATTTTGATTGTGGGTAGGTTTGTTGCCCTAGGACTGGCTTAGCTGACTGCATGGAGGCTCATTATCTGAAGGCTGGCCATTAGGTGATGGATTTTTAACTGCAGTAGCTTATAAAGATAATTTCCTATGATACATAAGGGTTGTAATCTACATTGTTAGAGGATGTACCCATGCCAACGAAATTATGGATCTTTGAAGTTTTTAAGTTGTCTTTAGTTTATTAAGTTGAGATCCAATTCAAGTGGCATATGAAGAACATGTTTTTCTTGTGTGTGTCAGATATTGAAAATGCTTACATTAAAAACTCCTGCTTTGTTAGGCTATTATTCTGCTTTTTTTTATCAATAATCATCATCCATGTTTAGAGATTGTACACTACTGTCTTCTTTGCTGGATTTCTTATTATCAACAGTTTCAATAGATGATTGCTCTTATAATACCATCTACATTTTTTTTGGAAATACTGTATATATTATTACTATGAAAAAAAGTGAAATTGGCAGATAATGCACCAGAGATGAGGGAGTTAAAGTGGCTACCGTCATTACCATACAGATCTGGAACTTCATCACCCAATCTTGTCATATTTTATATGTCAATTATAGTACTAATTGAGTGTTCCTGCTTTTCTGTATTTGTTTGAAGATAGAAATATTTGAAAGGAATATGATGGAGGTAACTTTTAGTAGGTAGAGAAAAAGATTGCAAATTCAGACTATTTTTTCTCTAATACCAATTTGTGGTGTTGGCCTAGTTATTAAGCCTCTCTTTCAATATAAAAATGTGCCAAGACTCACCAGTTAATTTTTGCCCTAGTATATTCAGTAAATTGTCACAGGCTATGTTTCCATACTATCCCTTCTCACTTCTAATTCTTAGAATCCATAATTTCTTTAAAGCTCAAGTCAAAGCCACCTCAAATATAAGGCCTTTCCTGATTTCCCTAATCTCCCTCTACCCCAATTGCTAGTGCCACCCTCTGCCCCCAAATTACTTACAAGAAAGTATAATCTCCTTGAAGTCAAGGATTTTAATTTATCTCCTGTGCCTAGCAGAGCTCCTGACACATTGTAAGTGCTTAAATGCTGGGTTCTTATTGATTGATTTGTTTAACCTAATAGATTTGAATTAAAAATTAAAATGTAATTTTGTAGATATAAAGAAAAAGATTATGATTTAGTGGAAAGAGCATTGGATTTGCAATTAATTGACCTCAGTTTGTTTTCAGTGCCTCAGTTTCCTAACCTGTAAAATGAATGGGTTGAAATAAATGATTTCTAAAATTTCTTCCTGTTCAAAATCATGTAAACTATTAGTTTATCCATTTTATTTTTAGTTTTCTATGTCAAGTTTATTTTTGTTCTCTTTTCTTTGGACTATGAAACCTTTTATAATTTTAGCAGTGAATTTGTTCCGCAACATAAGAATTCTTGCACTTCCTCTCTTCCTCATTAAAAAAAAAAAAACTTTACTGATCAAAGTAACTGGAATAGCCTAAGATTTGGTAGAAAAATTCTGTAAAGTTTGTTTGAAAGCCAGATCTATATGTGTAATGCTATTAGGGTAGACTGCAGAAAAGATTTAGTATTTATCTTATGTTATTTTTACTTTGATTTCTCTGCCTTCAAAGGAATTTAGTGCTTATGTTCAACAGCTAAAATATGGAATGGCAAGAATCAAAGCAGCCTTACCAGGAGTATATGAGTTAGCTGCTGGAGGCACTGCAGTTGGTACAGGACTAAACACCAGAATTGGCTTTGCGGAAAAGGTGGCTGCAAAGGTGGCCACCCTTACAGGTGAGGGAATGAATGTGGGACTGAACATTGGCTTATGTTGTGCCAGTCTGAGCGGTTGTTGCTTTTGCTTATTATGTTATGTTATTAGTACATCAATGTTTACCATTTTTTCTTGACTGCTTCCTAATTTCAAGTTCTAATAAATGTATTAAGGACCTGTGTTAGCCACCTCAGAAGATATTAATGAGAATCCTCTTCATTTTTAATCTTCTTTTTATGAGGACTTAGAAAATTTAATTAACATCTACTTGTGAAAACTACATTAACTCTATTATAATAGTTATTCAGTTTATATTTCTCATAAGGATTTTTTTCCCCAAGCTTCAAAGGAGAGTGGGATGATAGGTGAACTTGGAATTCTGTTTGTGCTGTAAATGTGGTGTTTTCGATGCTAGTTAGTAATTGCTTAGTTTCTTTTCTATTTTCTCATCTCATATCTTAAATTTCCTTTACAGTGTTATTCCCTCCCTTGTTAAAGAAAAGGGGGCACTGTGAATTAATTTATGCTTCCAAATTCTATATGTTCTGTTGTTGCTTGTTACTATACAGTTCTGTGACAAGCATTAAATCAAAGCCAGTCTCATAAATAAAAGGAATAAATAGTAGCCATGTGATACATTTTTAAGAGTATAGAAAAATCTGCTTTACAGACAATGTTTTCCCCTACTGGCCTTCCTAAGCTTGTCTTTTACTCAGTAGCAGTCTCCAGAGAACCTTTTTTTTTTTAAAAATGCAAGTAGTATTTGGTGGTTGGGGAAGTGTGGCGCATGATAACTCATGAACCATTGTTACTCTTAACAGATTCATTTATCATATTAGTATAGTGTATAGTGGAATTCTGAGGGAAGGACATTTAGTTCAATCCAGTTTTGAGGGAGAAAAAGATTAGCTGACAAGGATTAATTCCAAGGTGAACCCTGGACCCCATCGTTCTGCTAGATGTACCTAGGGGTGGTATGAAGCACCTGAGGTATACCTATAACCAACACTGGTTGAAGCATATCTATATATCACCTGTTTAGCTGTTTGAAATGAGATAATTCTCTAATATTTTGAGATCTTATTTCTGGTCACATTTTGACTTTTTGGAGAGAATTACATCTTGATTTAGCTTGCCTGTACTGATTAAAAAGATATTCCATCTTAAGTCATTCTTTTTCTTCTCCTCCTTTTTCTTAGGTTTGCCTTTTGTTACTGCTCCAAATAAATTTGAAGCATTGGCTGCTCACGATGCTCTAGTTGAACTGAGTGGTGCCATGAACACTATTGCCTGTAGCCTAATGAAGATAGCAAATGATATTCGTTTTCTGGGTTCTGGTCCTCGCTCAGGCCTAGGAGAGCTGATCTTACCTGAGAATGAACCAGGAAGCAGTATCATGCCAGGTAACAAACTAGTGGCAAAATTTCAGTTCAGCTTTTTAATTTGTCTTTTTATTGCCCACATTATTATTAGAAGCAGTAACCATGTAATTCAAAAAGTGATGAGGCAAGAGATGCATAAAGTTTCTATTAGGATGTTTTGCTACGGTATGAAACTTCGAAGAGAAACTGTTCAAAGCATTTACTCATTTACTTTGTCATGCTATGGAAAGACCTTCCAAGGGTGCTGTAAGCCGAGCCTCCCATTGCATCATGGTGAAATTTATCAAGATACTGTATAAGCTACTATTGGAGATTTCTGCGTGATGAATAATTGCAACAGTCTAAAAGGGGTTGTGGCAGTCTAAACTGGCTTGTAAATGTCTAAGCCACTGTGACCCTTAGCCATGGCCTTGACTAATTTCTTGTCCCACTGGGAAGTAGTGTTTGAAGCCGCTGGCTACTTTTGTTGTGTTACTGATTCTGCACTAATGTGAGGGTCTCATCTTTGTTATATATTTTAAAAACTTTTAGAATTATGTCTACATTTTTCATTTCAAATTATTTGACTTAAAAAAATCTTACAACAAATATCAAATACCTATCTTGTGAAAAGCATTATTATGCTCTGCATAGCCTCCTGCCCTCAAGGAATGGAGTACAATCTAATGAGAAGGGAGAGAATATGATACAGTGTATGCTGTAAAGGCAACTAGGTGGTGCAGTGGATAGAGAACCAGGCCTGGAGTCTGGAAGACCTGAGTTCAAATTTGGCCTCTGACACTTATTAGCTATGTGACTCTGGGCAAATCATTTAACCCTGTTTGCCTCAGTTTCCTCATCTGTAAAATGAGATGGAGAAGGAAATCACAAACCACTTCAGTGTCTTTGCCAAGAAAACCTCAAATAGGGTCATGAAGAGTCAAGCATGATTGAACTGACTCAACAGCAACATGCTATAATGGGGGTAGAACTAGACAAGTTACTATGATAAATTTTAGGGAGGAAGGTTCAGGGAAGGCTTCATATAGGAGGTAGCATCTGAGTTGGGCCATGAGGGAGGAAGGGGATTTCAACAGACAGTTCGGTCAAGAAACTCTTTGAAACATAGAGGAGGAATATGACATGAGCAAAGGCTTAACGAGCTAAGAGAGGGCAAGATAAGAAGGGGACTAGCAAAGGAGATAACACATAATATAACCATTGTTGTGTTAGAAATTACTCTTTCATTGGCAGCGTTTTTCTTTCTCTTTTTAAAGGAAAAGTGAACCCTACCCAGTGTGAGGCTGTTACCATGGTTGCAGCACAAGTAATGGGAAATCATGTTGCTGTTACAGTTGGAGGCAGCAATGGACATTTTGAGTTGAATGTTTTCAAACCAATGATAGTAAGCTTTAAATTTAATCTTTAATGTATCTTGATTTTAAAAGGCATTTATCTTGGTATATCTCTTTCACAGATTATTCCTGAAATGCCATATTATATACTCAGGAAAAAAATACAGCTTAGATACTAAAAGAGTATTATTGTTAAACAATTAGTCCTAGGTATCAATGTTGGTGTCTTGTACATAATTCAAGTGACTTGATGATATTTTAACGCCTTGGAACAATGTTCCAATGCATCCAGTTAGCATAATTATATTTAGTATAGTTTAAAAATATTTTAGATGAGTCATATTCACATCTAGGGCCTTTAAATATTTAGTGCTATGTATGTAGTATGTGTTCTGTAAATACAACTCATTTTTAAAAGTCTAGTTGATATAAAGATAATTGGCCACTTACATAGCACTTAAGGGTTGCAAATCTCTTTACATATATTATCTTTTTTGATCTTCACAACAGCTTGATATGGTTGGTACTGTGAGTATTTTCCCCATTTTATGAGGAGGAAACTGAGGATCAGAGGTACTGACTCATGTAACCCTCTTGGGCTGTTAACTTGCTTTATAATCCTGGACAAGCTTTTTTATTTCCATATACTATTCAGTTTATAAAGTATAAGGATGTTAATGCCAACTATTACAAGATAATCATGGAACATACCAAATAATATCTCAAGAACTTCATAAACATAAAATAACCTGATATGTTCACATTCTCATTTGCCAAATAATTTAAATTTAACCTGAATTTTCTGGCATAAAGACTTGTATTTGTTTGATATAGAAAAATTTTTAAATTGAATTACATTGGGAAGCATGACCTTTGGTCATAACTCATAATTTATCTTCACTATTTAAAATACTTCTAAAAAGTAAATCACTAAGGGTTTGCCATCAAGTCTTAATTATTCTTCTCTGAAAGTGCTCATATTCAATGCACTATTCTTTCAAAACATACCTTCTGCTAAAGGTGGTTCAGAAAAAAATATTCCCCATACCCGATCTGGACAAAAAAAGGAAATTATGAACCCTTAGTTTACAGTAGCAAATAGGGATTTGGTGACAAAATCTCAAGTCTTCTTTGAGTACTTAGGACTATAATTGATGTGTATCACCCATTCACTTTTAATTTGTAAAATATTCTAAGATTTTTTGTGAAATTCAGTATATTAAGGATCTCTGATTTCATCCATGTAGGTGTTCCTTCTAGCATTACAGATTGCAACCCTTCCATATTGTAGCAGACAATTTTCTTGAATTTCTGTGGTCAAAACTTTATCATCACCTTGGGCCTTAGGCAACAGATATAAATCTATTGTGGGGCCTATAGTAAGACCAAAGCTTAGGAGCACTTGCCAGGGCTTATGTTTCCCTGACAAGGCATTTGAAAACCCAGGGGTGCTTTGATACCAGGAAGTGTAATTGTGGTAGAATTCTGGAGATTTGTGAAAGATACCATTGTATAAACAGAGTAGCAGTTTTGTTACGTGAATCTGACTTGGGCCAATCATAGGATGTATTTGGCCTGATTTTTCCCAAAAGATTCTATCAAGGTTTCGCCACTTAACTCTTGGCTAACAGCACCCAACACAATCCAGAAGAAAAAGATTTTGACCACATTCATTCATATAGTCCATTTACACCTCAGTATAAATTTCTTAGCAGAATACGTAAAAGCTCCCTTCCTCTCCTAATAATTCAATCAGGTGCACACACACATACCCAAAAAAAATTTTTTTTTTAATCCAAAGTAAGTCTTTTACTTTGATTCCTTTCTCCTATCACATTTTCTGTTTATTTTGTTTGCCTGCAGTTATGAGGAAACAGCAGCCTTTCTGAGTTAGGATTCCGTTGATTCTGGTCCTTTACAACTTGAAACTGTTTAGGTATCTTTTCAATATGTGTGTCCCACCTTAAAGAAAAAACATCATAGTTCTTTAGTTTTCTGAAGTCTTTATACTAGGTCTCTGCTGCCAAGGCTACATCTTCTCCCAGAGTATATTTTATTAGCCATTGCTGAATCTCTATCAGAGAAAGCAAAAGTTATGAGGCAAAGCAGGATTTCTACTGAAGAATTCCTGCCAGGATTTTGTGAAATGAGGGTGTGTGTGTGTGTGTGTGTGTGTGTGTGTGTGTGTGTGTGGGTGTGTGGGTGTGTGTGTGTGTGTGTGTGTGTGTGTGTGTGTGTGTGTGTGTGTG